CCGGCGTCCGGGACCGCGGGGCCGGGCTGCTCGTAGCGGCGGCGACGGAGCCCCCCAGCGGCTGAGGGGCCTCCTCCCAGCCCTCGCGGGCGGCCGGGGCGCAGGGAGGCCCCGCAGTCGGGGAGCGTGGGGATCCCCCACGACATCCAGACCCAGAGCACCCCAGGAAAGCGGGGGGAGGCCTCCAGAGCCAACACAGAACGACTCCCCCGCCGGGGACGGCGAAGACTTCCTCCGTGCTTAGGAGACAGCGACGTCCCTCCGGTGCCTCGAAGACTCCCCTCTTCGATCCGGCCGCCCCCCAAGACCGAGAACGCAGTGACCCTCCTGTCCGGGAGCGCGGCGCCCCCTCTCAAGATCCCGGCCAGTACAACTCCACACCTCAAGGCACGAAGACCCGGCTCAGAGCCCCTGCATCAGGGAGCCCTAGACCCCCCAATTCCAGGCACACAAACCCCAAATCTAGGGACCTGAGGACGGAAGAGCTATTCCTCACCAGCAAGAGCCTCGGGACACCCCTACACACACACACACACACACACACACACACACACCTAAAGCTCCAGGACCCGGGCGACTGAGCCCCTCGCGGCGCCCCTCGCATCCCCGCCGGCGGTGGAGGCGCCCTGAGCCCCCGGGCCGGGCGGACGGAAACCGAGACGGCGCCCAGGCCCCCCGCCGCGGCGTCCCCGCGGCCCCCGCCCAGGTAAGCCAGGCCCAGGTGAGCAGCAGCAGGTGAGTGGCCCCCGAGGCCCCTCGCCCTGCAGGTGGAGACGGTACTGTCGCGTGCGCTCTGCCCCCTCCCCGGCGTCGCCATGGAGCCGAGGCTGAAGGACGTCTCTTTGTGTCTCGCTTGGAGGAGCCGCGCCCCCTCCTCCCTTCCCCCACCCCTCACCCTAGCCTTGGGGTTCGGGCCGAGCTCCCGGGCCCCACGGGAGGGGTGATGGCAGAGCACCGTGCGCCACGGAGAGGGGAAAAGAGGGTAGAGTTCCCCCCCCCCCCAAACACACACCTGAGAGCCTGGAGCAGTTGGATCCTCGGTCTTTGGAGTATTTGTATCCCCCACCCCCACCCCCCATGGCCAGGCTGAGTTCTCAAGTGAAGCCCCTCCTGGGAGAAGATTTGGGGGTGTTCACAGGTCAGGGGACCCCTCGTGTGTGGCCCTAGGGTGATGGCTGGGGCTTGGGGTGTGTGTCTTTGTCTGTGAGAGGGCAGGGAATGGGTGTGTTGGAGAGAATGGGTGGGAATGCCTTCTTTTCTCTGTGACTCCACTGCCCCCCAGCCAGGCCACAGTGGGGGGTCTTCACCCAGGCCACCTGTGCTCCCTGCAGGACAGGGAGGGGGCAAGCCCTTTCCAAAGTGAGGCACTGGTTCTGGGGAGAGAGGGAGGGAGGGAGTCTGGATGAAGAAGCCATTTCGGGTCAGGCTCCTTTCTGTCCCCTGGTGCCCCCGGGGCCGCCTTCCCTTCTCCTGACCTGACCTCCAAAACACCCAGGGCCAAACCGATTGGGTCAGCGTGTCCCGAACACCAAAGGGCGTTCTAGGTTATCACGCTAGCTTTCCAGGATGTATACCCGGCAGTGCCGCCACCGGGCCCTGCCGCTCATGGGACGATGAGAGGCGGGGGTGCTGTACCCTGACATTCCGACATTCTGAATCAGAAGGGGCTGGCTGGTGCCGAGGAAACACTTTGGGGTTCCCCCCCCCCCGTCTCTCCTCTCTTGCCCTCTACAGGCAAGCAGCAACGCTGAAGGCAGGACTCTGGGTACAGGTAGCCCCTCCAGGAGTTTCTTTGTTCATTTGTTCATACAACAAACTGAATCTAGTGCCTGTGATGCACCAGGTACTGGAGTCAAGGTTCTCTTTCTCACTTCATCCCATCTTCTTTCCTGATCGTCAGACCCCTGGGGTGTTCTCAGTTTGCCCAGGCCACACCTGAAGCCCTTGGTCCCCATCCTGCTGCAGACCTGGGGTCCCTGAGGCTGCATGGCCAATTCCTCCTTCCCCCTTTCCAATACCAAGTACCCCCACCCCATCTGCTGCTGGCAGTGACCCAAGGGGGAGGATGTGGTCAGCAGGGGGAAGGGTAGGAGGTGCTTCTGGCCGGATCTCTGGCAGCCCCTCCTGCAAATTCAAGGACAGTTGAGGCAACGCCCCTCAGCACAGGCTGTGGGGGAGCCAGCTGCCCTGAAGACTGGGTGATCTTGGGCAAGCGTGTGACATCTCCCAGAGATGACAGAGTGAGCCACTCACTCACTTTGTAGCTGGAGGGGCGGATGTAGATCGCATTTGGGCCTCAAGAAGCATCCAGGTGTGTCCTCTCCGTCTCTGCAATGATTCCCACAGTGGGTTCCCGGGAGCCTAGAGCCTTGCCATATGACCCACAGGCAGGGGAGTGGAGGGAGAGACTGAAAAGCAGAGATGGGAGTCACTGTGACTAGGGGAAACCGTCAAGAGGTCAGAGGGGCACAGGAGTAAGATCTCCCCTTCTCACTAACTTGCAGTGGCTCCCTGTTGAGTCTGGACTGAACCGCAGTTAAAGCTCTGTGCAGTGTGGCCCTCAACCGCCTCCCCAGTGTCATCCCCCAGTGCTCACTCATCATCCTCTACTTCACCTCTGGCTCATCTCCCTGTCCCCTCCCTCGCTCCCTCCGTCACCTGGTGCTGTTCCCCAACTTGAAAAGGCAGCTCTCTGCCTCTACCTCCCCTTTTTATCTGGCCTGGGCTCACAGAGTGGAGAGCTGCATTGGGGCCTTGGAGACAGTAGAATGTGTCCACATGTGCTGTGAGCGTTTGTCTCCACATCTAGACCCTGAGCTCCAGGACATGGGACCAGATCTGTCTTGTCTAGCCCCAGACCCAGCATAATATACAACACATGTGGTAAAATACAGCTTCTAGACACATTTTGATGATCCAAACAGTGTTTTTCCTCATATTTGCATTTGTTGCCAATGCTAAAAAAACACACACGATTTCACATACAAATATTGATTTTTGGATCCTATTGAAAAAGCAGATGATGTGGCGAGCTGAGGCAAGAGCCAAAGAGTGACAGTGCTGACCTTTAGACAGATCACCACACTCCAGCCTGCCCCCGACCCCACCTGGCCTGTTCACTCAATAACATAATAGGCAGCTGGCTCTGCAGGCTTGGGGTGGAGGCCAGAAAGTGTTTGCTCTGTGGGTGACCTTTGCTTGTATGTGTCTTGCACACGGGTATTCTCTACCTCCCCCTTGGCCACGTTAGAACATGCACAGAACAGCACCCCTCTGGGGTCCTAAGGCTGTGATGCAGTGAGCCCGAATTCCCGCCAGAGTATCAGTAGCCTGGCCCACTTTCTCCTCTTCGCCCATCTTGTGCCCCTCCCCTACGCTAGAAGGGTTCAGCCGCCAACAACTTGGTTTAACTGTCTCACTTTCCCAGGAGCAAAAGTTCAAGGTCCTAGGCCCAGGTCTTGCTGAAGGTTCTTGGGGGAGGACTACACTCTGGGCTCAGTTTACCCATGGTCAGAGAGGAATTGGAAGCCATAAGCTTCCTCTTTGTTCTGACTTTCTAGGGCTTGAGACCAAGCTGCTCTAGTTTGAGTCAGGCAGGAGAGATGGGGGGCCTAGATTCAGAAGTCACTCAAAAATACCACATTCCCTAAACATGAGTGAAGCCAATGGGCGTTGCCAAGTAGCTGGGCCAGGGGGCAGAGGCCAGCGCTGGGCACCAGGCACTCGGCATGGCCCTGGAAGGGAGTGTGCCGCCTTCCTGGATGAAGGTCTACAGCAGCCCTACGCTGGAGGGACAGCAGAGCACCATAGTTGAGAGCACAGGCTCTAGACCTTGCCTGGGTTTGAATCCCACTTAGCTGCTGTGTGACCTTAGGCAAGTCATTTAACCTCTCTGAGCTTGGTTTAATCCTGTGGAAAACAAGGATAATGCCTACCTTAGGGTCATCAGGGCGAGTGAGTTAAAGCATGCAAAGGGCCTAGGACCTGGTCCAGCCCATGAAAAGTGCTCAGTAACTATTGGCTCTTAGTTAAAGTTGCACTGGCAGGTGGGAGACTAAGCCTCGGTAACCACCTTGCTTTTCCTATAGCCTGTCTGGGGAGGCCATAGGGCTTTGGTGTTTGAGAGGCAGTGCTGTGTGGTGCTTTAGAGCAGGGAGGAGTCCAGGTGCAGTGGGCTGGGGTTCAAGCCTGAGGGCCTGTGAGAGCCCTCCCAGTACCTTGGCCCCTGGCTCTGCTGAAGGGTGGCCTGGCCCTCTTTCTGTAGCTGAGGCCCTCTTCCTTCCCAGCTCTGCTGTCCAGGTGCTTCGCCTGCCTGGCTTGTCCCCAGGCTTTCTGCCCTAGGCAGCTGGGCCTCAGGCCAGAGCCTGGATCAGCATCCCCAATAGACTCAGGGTTTTCCCCAAACTACCCTCTCCCTCCCCTACTCCTCTGGCCTCAGGAAGCTGTGGCAGTGGGGCCTGGAGGGGCCAGTTAAAGCCCACTCCCCTCTCCTATCCACCCACCTTTCCCAGTCCCCACCGCAGCCTGGCCACAGTCTGGAGGTGGAACAGGTCCAGACTCTCAGGTCAGCCCCCACTCTGGCAGCCAAGTAATATTCGGGTTGGAAGGAAGCAGGGGAGCATTTTTTCAATGTCAGGTACTCCATGCCCAGCACCGGCCATCGCTTTCTCACTTAGTGCTGAAAACAGCACTAACCCAGAGTGGGGATTTGAGCCCAGCTCTGAGCCCCCAGAGGTTTGTGTGAAACTGGCTGCAAACTGCCTGGGTTTGAATCCTACCTCCACCGTTCATTGACGACATGACCTTGGACAGGCAGTTGCCTTCTGTGCCTCGGTTTCTCCTGATGTGGAATGGGAATAATAACTGCTCCTATTCCCTAGGGTTGTGGGGAGGATTAAAGAACCCCTTACAGGTAAAGCACGTGTAGCAGTGCCGGCTGCTTAACTGTTCTCATTACTTCTGCCACACCCTGCGGGATATGCAAATGAGCTGGTCTGGCCAGGGGAAGTCACTGCCCACCATACCGGCTCTCCTCCCTTGGCTTTCACAGTCCTGGGAGAGGCAGAGAATGTCCTCAATGCTCCTGGGTATTGGGATGGCCCTGGGGGGCTGGGGTGTGGGCTACACAGAACAGGGTCGCTGCCTTCTCCTGGTCAGGACCCAGCAGAAATCCCCACCCCAGGGCAGTCCTGCCATAGCAGGGAGATCCTCGTGCCTGCCAGCTCCGACCCTGTGTCTCCTGGAGGAGCAGGGGGCCCACATTTAACATGGTTTAGTGGTAAAAAGTACCATCTCTAGATCCTGCTGTGTGACCTTGTGCCACGTGCTTAACCTCTCTGAGCCTCAGATCCCTCATCTACAAAAAAGGTGGATGGGCCCTAACCAGTTTGACTCAGTGGATAGAGCGTTGGCCTGCAGACTGAAGGGTCCTGGGTTCGATTCCGGTCGAGGGCATGTACCTTGGTTGCAGGCACATCCCCAGTAGGGGGTGTGTAGGAGGCAGCCGATTGATGTTTCTCTCTCATCGATGTTTCTAACTCTCTATTCCTCTCCCTTCCTCTCTGTAAAAAAAATCAATAAAATATCTTTTTTTAAAAAAAGGTGGATGGTACTGTACCTACCTTGTAGGGTCACAGTGAGGATTAACTGAATGAATGTGTGTAAAGTGTTATGCATGGCACTGAGTATCCACTCTTAATATTAGTT